CTGTGGAGTTTTTTACTCCTCAGCATCACATGTATAGTGCTAATGTGGCTGGCTGGGGAACAAGGGTGCTTCAGTGAGGAGGCTGCATGGCAGCTAGCCCCACGCTGGAGAACCTTTGTGCCCCAGCCAGCCCCTCTGCAGCATGTTGGGCCAGGTCAGAGTAGCCTTAGACTTGCAGGCTGACCTGTGTTCAAACAGCGCACCCAGAAGCAATAAACTCTAGTATATGTGATGGAGCTTATTGCTGCATGCTAATAGCATGTGTAGATGCACCTAATATGAGTAAGGGTGGTGATACCTTTGTGGAGGAAAGAATTTTGTTGCATTACATTAGTCCTCCCAACTTCAACAAGCATATAAACAAATACACAGGATTAATTGAGGGTGCAGTAATAATACTTCTGATCCAAAGTTCTCAATCAATTTAATAAATCGGGGGTAAGGGAGGTGGAGAGAAACCAAGTGATTTGCTGAAGCATGTTAACTTAATGAATTACTTTTATAACTGGGTTTGAACCTTGATCTCCTGACTTCTGTTTTACTGCTGATAAACTGTATTTTTTTTTGTAATCTTTTCCCTTGCTTAAAAATATACAGGCATTTTCAGAGAATGATTTTAAAAATTGCTCCTGGTTTTATACCTGCTTGAGTTTCCCTACAAATTTCTGTGGGAGATGTTTTTTCTCTTTCCTGTCCTTTGTTGAAAGATCTGTGCAATCAATGGGAGAAACTGACTGACAATAAAAATGACAGTGACACTAGGACCGAGCTACTGTCAAAGGCTACTAAATGAAGAAGCAGAAAAATAGAGAGCCATTTCTAATACTTGTTAGAGTTACCATAGGTTTTTAAATTATAAATAAGGGTCTACTCAATTTGCAATTCTGTGGATTTCACGGAAACTGCAATATCTGGGATTGTCCATGAAATCAGCTTAAAAAAAAAGAAAAACTTAATAAAATGCTGGCTCCCCTGTGGGAGCCAGCAGTTCTTGCTGCTGCTGTGGCCCAACCTCACAGCCTGCCCAAGGGGAGGGAAGGGAAGCTGGCATGAAGGGCAGCAGACAAGTTGGCAGCTGCCCCATCTCCCTTCACTGGGGCTTCTTCAGCAATCAGTGCCAAGGGGTGAAGCCACCAGACCACATTCAAGAAATATATGTGGAATTTGCTATTTATATCACAACCAACCTGCAACAATTGTTTAGTTTCTCCACGGTTTAAGTAGATCCCTAATTATAAATTGTGTTTTTTACCCTGAGGTGAAAGCATTATTTTGTGTTAATATGAAATGCAATTAATTCAAGACACTTTACACAAAGCTTCCTCACTCCCTGCAGATATGAGGATGCTTAACCAGGACTGGCTTAATCAGTAAGGAGAAAATCTTGGGTTCCTTTTAAAAAATTATCTCTTTGTTCTCGTTGTGTTCTCATTGGTTGAAGCAGGATGGGTTTATGGCTGGTTGGCTACCACACACTTGCAGGGAGAGTTTATAATTCTTTCGTCCAGGCTAATATGCCATTCATTAAATCACTTTTCTGGTACTTCCCTTTCTTCCTGTGGTAGCTGTGGCAGCTGCATTTGCAGTCAGATACTCAGGAATTGTACTCAAGGTGGGCCCTGTATTGGGGCAATACTTTACTTTTCAAAGAGAAGAGAGTAAGACAGCTTATAAAGTTTAGTCATACCCTGTTAAACTGTTGTGCACTTCAATCAGGTATATAGCAATAAAATTCAATAGACTCGTGCTTCCTGTTAACTTTGAGGTCAGTGCGTATAAGAAACTTGGGAATAAAACTGATTTAATTATTGAAGGAAATCATTGACTTATGAATTTGCACAGAAAGCCATTAATAGAGAGACCATATAAACCTGATCTCTGTTTTCTTCTCTTCCTAATTTGAAATTTTTACAGTCCATAAATTTACTTAGTGGTATTTAAAGCTTGTCATTTTTTTCAGATGAGATCATGAGTTAAGTACACACAGTTTTCCTCCTACAGATCTTCTGCTTAGCAGTGTGAGTGTTTGATTGAAACATATTGTCCATAGTGTGTGCATAATACAAGGCATGCAGAAGCTTCTGGTCAATATTTGCTCAAAGATTGATTTGGTAGTGTGTTTTAACCTTTATCATATTATGGAAGAGGTACTGGGAGGAGAGAATATTTTATATAGGTCTCATAACAGATTTGGTATGATTACTGTGAAGTGTTCCGCTTGCCTCTGCATTGAAACCATCGAGAAACTCATTTGGTGCAGAATACAGTTATCCAGGTGGTGGGAGCCAAAGAGGACATGTTATGTCATCTAAGTATACTGGCTTTATTCCTACAGGCAACTCAAAGTTTCGGTTTTGATCTGTAAAGTGTAAAGCACTGTCCAAAGGCTCTTGTCCTGGTTGTCTGTCTGAAAAGCCATCTCTTTGTTTGGCAGCTGCGGTTAACTGGTATATACAAACTGATAACCTGTTGATGTTTGTGTGGCGTTGATAGCATATTGTTTTTGGGGTAAGATCTTTGCCTGTGACATTTACTTCTCATGCCTGTCAAGTAGAGCTTGAGTTTGCAAGTCTTGGGGATATAGTGATGTTGTGACTTATTTTCTTAAATTTTTGCCTGACAAAATCTTGGTAAGGCAGCAGAGCAAAGCTTATTTGAGGGAAATTCCATCCATTTTTATTTTTCTGTTTTGAAAGAGGTAAAAGTCTTATATATATTTTTATTGGGTTCCATACATTTGGCTTGAGTTATATGTACCAAGCTCTAGTGAATTAACTGTTAAATATCAAAATTAAGACCCACATTAAAATTTGAGATTAACAGTTATTCTCATGAAAAAAACAGTCCTAGAGATGTACAACATGTATAGTTGCAAGTAATGCTCCTTTGCATGCAGCATCCTCATTTGCTGATGCACTTGGTAAGCTGTGCTGGGTAAGCTGGCAACAGGCAGTAGCTGAAATGTGAGTTTGGCCAGAGCACCAGGGGTTGTAAAAAATACCATCATAAAATTGCAGGGGGGCAGCACCTTGGCTTTCATGTTGAACTGAAAGATGACATCCCAGTCAACACAGCACCCTCTTGCAAGCAACATGGGTGGGAGGCTGTGGGAGGAGGACTGGACTTTTGGCTGCTGATAATTATGAAAAGGTTTTCTTTATTGTGTCCCCCACGATTTAAAAAAACCCAACACCTTTTAAACATATAACATGAAAGGAAAAGGGCAGAATGTGACTGTTATGTGTTTTCAGTTTCAAAAAGGATTTGACAGATTGGCTGGTATGTAGGTTCTAATGTAAGCAACTAAGTATGGAGAAACATTTATTTGGAGCTCTCTGATTGTGCTCTAACTTGGAGCACTACAAATTCCAAGCACTACAGCTGTGCACAGAAGGTAGAGCTGGGAGTGGAGAGCAGAAGATTGCAGGATGCTGGAGGACTGAGCAAAATGAAGCACTTCAGAGACGTTTCTCCTTTCTTGAGGGCCATTTTTAAAGGATGCTTTAGCCCAGGGGTTCCCAAAGTTTTTATGCTGCAGCCCTGCAAACTGCGGCCCAGAAGCGGCCACAGCGTGGCAAACCGCTGCCCAGCAGTCACAGCCAACCACGGCCAGAATTCCTGGCTGGAAGACAGGTAAGGATACCCCCATCCCCCAGGTGGGGAGGTGGGCCAAACCCTGTTCTGCCATGGGCCGCGCAGGAGGAGTCATGGCCTCTCCACCGGGCTCTGGGGGGTCACGGTTTGCCACTTCCGGTCCAGCAGTTGACTGTGCTGCGGACTGGCAGCCAACCCGCCATGGCCCAGCACTGGGCTGCAGCCCAGGGATTGGGAACCCCTGCTCTAGTCAGTTTTAAAGCACTTTGTTAAATATGAATATCTTCACCTTTACTGGTTGCAGCACTTCAGTGGTACTTGGTATGCTTCAAATGGCATATTCATGGCCTAAATCTGTACTCACATAAATTATTTTGATACCTGTATGATGGTAAAACAAAGGGACAGCCCTAATTTTAGGGGTGTGATCACATTTTTAAAGTGACAGAAAACCTTGTGGAAGAGTTATATCCATTAATGAAAGTTCTGTATCAATGGCCAAAGCAACAGATTTTGAAAGGAGAAAATGAAAAAATTAGGACCTACAAACTAAAAATAAAACAAGTCAAGATGGTGACATGCACATATGTAATTTGAAAAAGTAATCACCTACCTAAGTACAGTCAGCAAGTGGCTTAATCTGGTTTCTATGCAAGCCACTGTGATTCTTGATCAGTAGCAAGATCCCACACAGAACATACCTCTAAACCCCATAGCTTCCCTACATAAGCATGGGGCGTAAAGGAATGGACATGTATAGCTGGGAGTTGTTGATGACAGAAGTGACTTGCTTCAGACCATATAATTCTCTGTCTCTTGTTACTCTACTTTATTCTTATGTCTTTTGTCACCTCAATGAGTAGAAGGAAATGTCAGATCTTTTAATTTTAAATTAGAAAAACTGGATAGTATTAGTCTAAAAGCCTGCCTTCATCAGCTTGTTAATTTATGACTTTAAAAATCCTCAAAAGCCTGTCCTTCAGTTGCCAGGCATAGGACTAAGATCTGCTGTCCTTAATTTCTATGGGACTTCTTCACATACTTTATGTCAGACTTTTTAAAAATTATGTGGATCAAAAGAATTGTTGACTGTATAAATGTTTACAAGCTGTAAAGTGTTTTGTGTTCCTTTTAGTTATAACCTATGTCCAAAACTAAACATCACATTTAGATGGAATTTATTTTCTATACTGAGTTATGTGTAGGTTGAGCTGAACTAGCTTCTGTTCAGCAACTAGTCTGCAGTTAGCTTTCTTCGAGTTTTTAGCAAATAGCTCTATCTACGCAATATTTTAGGTTGATAGGTTTGTTTTGGGGTTCTGATCCTTACTCTTTGACTAACCAGTAAATATGTTTTAGCAGATGTAATGATAACTGATACCTAATTGAAGTCTCTCTTTTTGCAGCTGCACACTAAGTGTAACTCTGGAACAGGCTATAATTCTTGCTAGGAGCCATGGACTACCTCCTCGCTATATTATGCAAGCTACAGACGTGATGCGCAAACAGGTAGGCTTATCTTATACTTTAGAGTGTAATCATTTGCCATGGGAATTCCAGGAATGATATTCTCATTTTTCCCAAGATTGATTGTGACTTGGATGATTATAGCATCTTCCATAGAATAATCCTGAAGTAACTGTAGAAGACTGTCACAGTTCTGACATTCTGAATGTCTATCATAGCCATTAGTGAGCTTTAATAAATTAACCTTTTAAATGCTGACTATATTAAATATATTCATATATTAAACTTTCATATTAAGATCTTTGAATCCAATGTATTTAACTAGGGCTGTCAATTAATCACAATTAATGCCTGCAATTAATATGTTCATTTGATTTTGCATTTTTTTTAACATATATTAATCACTGCTTGTGATGGGGGAAAAGATGCTCATGCTACTCCCCCCCCCCCCCTTGTTGCTGTGTGCTTGCTTGTGTGCTGGGGGAAAAGTGGCCCCTCTCCCCTTGCTGGTGTGTGTCTGCCTGTGCTGCAAGAGCAGCCCCTCTCCTGGGGGCTGGTGCATGCCTGCCTGAGCTGCTGGGGGAAAAGTGGCCCCTCCCCCTCTGCTGCTGCTGGGCCACAGGTGCACACGGGCGCACACATGCACACACACCAGTCAGACACACACACAGGCACATGCCAGCCAGCCAGACACAGACACCAGCCAGGCAGGGTCCTTGGAGCAGGCTCAGCAGCTGGTAAGCAGACTCCCCCCCATGCACTGCAGGTAAGTGTTTGGGGGAGGCAGGGGTTGGAGGGCCAGGTCTTGGGGACTATCTAGGGTTTGTGTACATGTGTGTACGTCGAAAAATATTTAAAATAAATTGGGATTCTATTATTATTTAACTGCGTGATTAAAATTGTGATTAATCACAACTACTTTTTTTAAATCTTGCGATTAATTATGATTAATTTTTTTAATCGTTCAACAGTCCTAATTTTAACATTTTATTTTTAATTGTTTTTTTGTTTTTCATACCCTTCCTAGGGCTAGACAGTTATTGGAGATAATCACGATAGCCAGAGCTCTCAATGGGATGTTATGCCCAAAAAGACTGATGTGATCCTAGGTGCAGGATGTATAAAAATGGAATATCAAATAAAGGTAGAAAAGTACATGACATGGATAAGCCTCCTCCTGGAAACTGTCTATGTTTGCTCTCTGCCGTACTAGTAGAAATACTGGAACAGGTTCAAAGGAGGTCCCTTAAAATGATCCAGGGGCTGAAAAGTAGTGTTTTGGTAGGAGGTTTACGAAGCTTGACCTGTTGGAGAGAATTTGTACATGGTGACTTGCTTGGAGCATCCATTTACTTACACACCATACTAGGGAACTTCTCAACCCTGAGGACAAATCGTAACAAGAGCCAGTGTGTGGAAGCTGAAGTCAGAAAAAATTAACTTGAAATCAGATGCAGTTTCTAGCATTGAGGGCAATTAAACTTTAAAACAGCTTTCTAGAGGAGGTGATGAACTAACAGTTTTTCATTTGTGTATGTGTATTTCTGTGTGTGTGTATGTGCCTGTTTTCCTTTTGAAGTATCAGATATTGGTCATAGCTAGATATAGGGCAGTGAATGGCTTGGGTGGGTGGGGTGCCAGGGGATGCAAAGCTTCATGGTGATATTAAAAAAAAACAACATTCTTTCCAGAGGACAGACAGTATTCTAGTCTCAGTATTTTATTTTATTCCAGTATTTTATTCACATGCATGAGAGTCGTATTGTTTTTCAGACTTGGAGTCAAAAAGGAATTCCCTCTGGTCAGACTGGAAGGGATGCTGGGATGTGACCATCTCATGTGGTCACGTGTCACCACTAGCACAACAAGTGGTGAATGAGGGGCAGCTGCCCCAGGCACCAAGTTAGGAGGGGTACCAAAATCTCTAACTCCACAGCGTGTACACCCTGGAAGCAAGAGCAGTCCAAAATAGTCCCTGGCTGCTGCTGCTGTTTTAAGAACAGAGGCCAGGGTGGCCAGAGTACAGGGTGGTGGCAGCAGCAGCTCACATAGGGACTGTTTAGGAAGGGGTGGGCAAAATATGGCCCATAGGTTTTCGAGGCCTCTTGCCCTTCTCCCTTCCCCATGCCAGCCAGCTGCAGCAGCAGCAGCCACTCCCCTCCCCGTCTGCCCTGTCCTGCCCCCCAGCCCCCAGCGTATATTCCAAGGCAGGGGGTGCTGAGCTCCTGGCCAGGCTTCTGCCCGGTGAGGCTGCCTGTGTGCAACTCCGACCCTGCAGCTGTTCACAGCCCAGAAAGCCCAGCTCCTGGCAAGTTGGAGCTCAGGCACAGTTCTCCCTGCTGACAGGATGGGGGTGCAGGGGGAAGCTGTGGGTTATCCAGGCTCTGCTAGGCTGGGGCCTGGTAGGGGTGCAGGTGCCACTAACGCAGTACCGAGCTGTGTTTTCACGCACTGCTTTGAGCTACACCATATGGACGCAGCTGGTGTAGCTCCTGCCTGACCCTGGTGTGGCTCCTACCGGCTGCACCCCCGTGGCCTGAAGCGATGCATGGGAACACAGCCTGGTACTGGCTTGACCCGGCCACATGCCAAAGATGGGGGGGGGAGCAAATAGAAAGTTCCTAGTGGAAGAGTGGTGGATAAGTAGAAGTAGTCTTTCCTGAAGTTGGCATGGGAAGGAAGTGATGATATTTTCCAGTTCCAGAGCAAATTCTGTGGTGGGGTCCTCCCCAAGTTTTTTATAATATTTTGTGTCAGGTAGTTTTCTGTCAGTATCACTGATGTAGCCTTGATGGTTAAGAAAAGGAGCTCCATCTTTGTCCATTGGTTTGATTACTCTTTAGTTGTTGGATCTTAGGGACTGTATGGCTTTTCTCTCTGAAGGGGAGAGGTTGTTGTGGTCCTGGCTTTTGTTGAGAATTTTGCTGTTAGCTTTCTTATTGAAATAGCCAATATTATAGTCCAGTGTGTGGTTATGATTGTTGGGAAGTGTCCAATCTGATATTTTATTGTTGTTTGCTTTCTCAGTTGTGGCAGGAAGGTTGTTAGAGGTGGTAGTGCCCTGGCTGTGGAAGTAGTCTTTCAGCAAAGTTTGCAGAAGAATTCTTCTAATTATCCACATATTAGTATCTTGTCAGGCTTCTTCTCTGGGCAGAAGTTCAGGCCTTTGGAGAATACAGATGTTTCCAAATGGGATAGTGTGTGCTGTGCTAAGCTGATGTTGGTGTTCTGAGTGCTGCTGTCTTGATTCCCTCCTATGTTGTTGGTGAGGGTGAGATAAGATTTTATTATTTATAGAACAGCATACTATAAGTGTACACAGTGTTTTACAGAATGTATAAGATGGGGAGGTTTTTCCTCCTTCTTACAGTGGAAAAATAAGTGTATTGAGTAGGTGCTTACAACCTACATTGGCTGAACATTAGTCCAGAAGATGAAACCTGGTTACTCAGCCTAGGAATCTGGTGGGTTTTAAGAGTAAGTCAGAATAAAGCTAGGACATAGGAGGTGATCTGGGTACAAAAATGAGATAGAAATGGGGAAGGAGAAGAGGAGGCATATAAGATGAGGGAAAGGGATTAAGATAAACTGAGTGTAAAGGTCTAAGCAGCAGTCCTGAAAGGAAAGGGGTTGGACCTCAATACAAAAGGAGAGGCAAACTGTGAAAGGGTTTGAAGGGGCATGTCTGTAGTGGAGACTAATCTTACTGGCAATTTGTGGATTGGTTGGGGGAAGACATGGTAAAATATAACTTCCCCAGTGAAAGATGGGTTATAATAGTCCAATTAGAGAAGTCCAAAGTTTAGAATTTTTTTAAAATGATAAATATTAAGTAAAATAGGTTAAATATTAGTGAGAATATGGAGGAAAGGGTAACTATTGGCAAAACTAGTAACGGAAAAAGAATACTTGTTTTAAATCCACACAATATACAAGTATTTTAGTCAGATATTAGTATGGATTTGAATCATGTAATGGAGATTCATTAGATCCAATGTGTGAAGTTATAGCGAGCCCCTATAGTTTGGCTCAAACTAGGAAAACACATGTTTGGTTAAAAATATAATAAAAAGGGTGAAATGTATCCCAGTGCATAAGGTATATGAAAAGATCTGTGGTGTTGAAGCTCTGTATCAACTATCTGTGTCAAACGGGGCTTAAGACCTGGCAACAGCCTTTCTACACCAAGTTTAATTCTAAACCTAGTTCAGTTTACTTAGAAATAATAGCAAAAATATGTTATCTTATTTATTGGGGCAGGAAATGCTGTCCCTGTACCACCCCACCACCCACTCAGGCATGAACTCTAAGCCAATTAACATATTTTCAGTTTAAAGTGTAAGATGTAACAAGGGCCTTTAATGATGTTTAGTCAGATCACATAGGGCTCCTCAAAAAGTAAGCTTTAACTTGATATCTTTTAAAGGAAAGCAACTAGTGTAAAATAATGAACCGGCAGTTATAAATTGTTTCTACTTTTCCAGTTCCAGTTGCAGGGGCTCGAGCCTTCCTAGCCAAAGGAATTCCTATAATACCTAGTCAGAAT